GCTCACTGGAAGGACACATCCTGAAGCTGAGGCTCCAATACTCTGGCCATCTCATGAGAAGAGAAGACTCCCTGGAAAAGACCCTGATGTTGGGAAAGTGTGGAGGCAGGAGGAGAAGGGGACGACAGAGGATGAGATGGTTGGACAGTGTCATCAAATCTACCAACATGAATTTGACCCATCTCCGGGAGGCAGTGGAAGATAGGAGGGCCTGGCGTGCTGTGGTCCATGGGGTCCCGAAGAGTCGGACATGACTTAACGACTAAACAACAACAAGGGAAAATATGGGAAGGCAACACAGAGTTACACTGATTATCAACTTTGTTACATGTAATGCACATACATATACCAAGAATATAAAACTGTCCTTTAAGCTTTTCATCTGGCACATTGATTGTCAAGTCCAAAACTACCGTATTCTCACGTAATTTGTGAAAAGAAGTTAGGAGGACTGGTCATGATGCACCTCTCTCATGTCTCCAAGGGCCAGCTCTCAACTGACATTCCACTGTTTATTTGGTTTTTCAGATGATTGAGGAATTATCTAGCAGGCTCCTCTGCTTTGTTACCTGTGGTTCGTGGAAGTGTGTTTCCCTCTGTGCAGCGATCTTTTCTGAATCACAAGCTGCAGAATTCCTTGCTTCCTGCTGACCTCACCAACCATCTCAATAAGATCTGCTGGTCTTCCCAAATGCCAAAATAAAAGCTATCCCTTTGCTGAGTGTTTGGGCCTTTGTTGTATACTATAAGTGGAACTGAAATAAATATGCTTTTTATTGCTGATACAATTTATAGATGGATGTCTGTAGATTTTACAAATGAATTGTTTTAATAATCATTTGCTCCTCCCAAGGGTCCCCTGAGGAGCAGCATTCTCAGAGGCTGCAAGATAACAGCTGTGAATTCCTTTCTTGAGTCACTACATCTCATGTTAGATCTTCCTTTCTTCTCAGTGCCCCTCCCACTTTTCTCAGCAATCTCATCTTTTCCAGTCAGTTCTGTATTCACATTATACGTGCAGGGCAGGATAGCTTTTGTTTACTGATTTTTGCTCTTGTGAGAGTTTAGTCTTGACTGAGCACCCACTCATTTGCCTTTCTTGTGGTCCGCAGTAGTATCTGTGACGTTTTCCTCCCACACTGTATTGGCATTCAGTTGAAAGCATCCCCCCCCATCTTTCTTTACCATTCATCTTTTACATAGTCCAGATAGTTTTCACCTGGGTTTCAAGCGACAAGCTTTAGTTACTCCCATCCCCACCCTCTTTTTTTATATTTCAATGTGCCACATTCATAAAATAGAGATTTAAAAAAAAACAGTTTGCTTTTCCTGGTGTTTTTTTTTTAAACCGATGCTTTAAAAAAACCCTCTGTGTCAAAAGATTTTGAAAAGCTGTTCTAGACTTGAATGAAATGGCTAAGCCAAAGTGTGAATACGTGCAACGCAGACTACAGAGGAACATACACACTGTTTATAAGTGTAAACCATCGATAAAGTAACATGGAAGGTCAGGTCAGGTCAAGTTCCACTTTCTCCGCTCATTCTTCTGTACAGACAGTGAGAAGCAGCAGCAAGTGGACCTTATCTGTGCAGTCACCGAGTGATAACACCCCCCCACAGCCATTCAGGCAATACTTTCACAGTCGGAAAAAGAGATAGATATTACCCAATGCATACACAGAGGGAATCCGGGGCGGGGGGATCACTCTGTTTGCAACAGGCTGAATCCCACGATAAGTTTGTTTTCCCTAGTAACACATTCCGAGGTCGTTTAAGGGTTCTTTGCATTTGGGACACTCCCCTCCAGCTGTGGGGGCGGGGATTGGAGATGCTCGTATTGAGGGGAAATCCAGTCACAATCCAAGGACGCACCCCATCCCTGCCCTAATTGGTCCCAGAATAAAACTCGCCCACCGTTGCCTGGCAACTCTCCCTGATTGATACCTTTTAACAGAAGCCACGTCAGGACACTGGTTCCTTATAAAGTGCTGTACTGTAATTCAAGGTCACGGCAAGGGGTTGTTGTTTTTTGGCAGTGTGGAAGCCGAGCTCTTTTATTCAAGGAAATTCACAGGAATTTAGGATGAGTTGTGTCTTTTCAGAGAACAAAAAGATCTCGCTGGGTTGTCGCGCGTCTTCCCACCCGCTACGACTCAACTTGGTTTCCCCAAGTTGGCGAAGTTGTCTTTGCTTGAAACAGTTTTGCTACTTTAAAAAAAAAAAAAAGCAAAAACAGTTTTTGCTACTTCCTGCTTACTTTTTTTAAAAAGAGGCAACTCTGACTTTTTGTAAAAAGCGGATTATTTACTGCAAAGTCATTGCTAGTTTGAGATCGTAGTTAATATGGTCTTTACGCACAAAACTTTAAAGAAAGTACGAAAGCCACGACTGTTCGCTTAACATTAAAAACTGCAAAATAACGGGATTTCCTTTCGCCCTTGCTTTTCATCAACTCGGGCTGAAGAAGAGGTCTGACAGTGTCTTGCATCTGGTCCTCTAATAAATTACAGCAAAGTCCCTTTGGATTCTGCAAAGTTTCTTGATCTGAGTTTGTGGGCAAGCAGTAGCTTTGCTTCTTCTTTTTTGGGGGTATATTAGGACTGGTGCCCATTGTGGCTGGTGGGGCAGGAGGCAGACTCGGGGGGGGGGGGCTGACAGGGCTTGGGAGAAGCGGGGTCTCCATCGGCACCCACCCCCTTCAGCCTCCACACACAGAAAGGCAGGCAAGTTGGCAAGCATTCACATGTACCCTGGCAGGAAAGAGGGCAATGCAGAGAGAGAGCTGGCTGGGCGTGCGGAGCCTGTGCCAAGGAGAGATAATACTGTACTCTTGTTGACCAGCCTGCCTCCAGCTTGGACCAATCTGGACGCATTTCTCCCACCCCACACCCAACGAACCTCCCCTTCTTTCTGAGAACTCCCCTTTGATATATATATTGGATACCTAGCCCTGCTTTTCTCACTGGAGTGTCTCTGTACTTCGTGGGAGTGCAGCTGCACCAGAAGAGGGGAGGAATTGTAACCTTTTCCATTTTTTGATCAAAGCTTGAATTAAGGGTTTTTTTCTAGAGATGGCGTTTACAAAAGACCACAGACTGACCATGAATGATGGCAACAAAATCCCTGTCTATGGATTCGGCACCTATTGTGGAGATGCTGTAAGTAGAATAGATTGACTTTCAGTATTTGTGTAGTAAAGTCTCCTTTGGACTAGCTAAGTGCCTAGTCCTCATGATCAGAACAGGTAGAAGGCTGGCTCAGTTATTGTGTACAGACTGTGTGTTGTACAAACATAGATAATTATAGACCTA